GTGCTTAGTATGGCCCTTATACGCACATGGTACCTTCATTAACTCTCGCCCGTATTGGTGTTTTTCCAGCCGCGAACGTAAAAGGGTGGGGGGGGTCCGTTGGTCCGGTGGACCCCCCTTGCCGTTTCGCCCCTGATCAAGCTAGAGCTTCGCGGAAAAAAAAAACGAGCGTGTTGTGCGTCACGAGACGAAGCCGATGATACCCAATTTTAAGGTCCTAGGTCATCGGTTGACCTTCCAGGTCAGGTCAATGACCCAAAAATCGGGAAAATCGGGACCTGTTAGAATGTCGTAAAGCGTGGCTGCTATGGGTTTTTTCGGGGTGCTGATCACGAATATCATGCTAGTTTTGATCACAGATGATGTCTTCATGCATTTAGGCCAGGTCGGGTCAGGTCAGGTCAGGTCAACCAGTAAGGGTATTCGTAATAGGTGGCAACCGCCTCTGACAGCTTCGTAACATGTTACGAAGGCACCGAAACTACTTCCTAAATGTTCATATGGTTGCTAAATTCGAATTCAGCTCCAAAAACTGGCATAGAAACATGTAAAACTCGAAAAAGTGAACCGAGGTCATCAAAGGTCAATGACCTGACCTGACCTTCCGGTGACCTTGACACCCACCCTAATGTATGGGAGCAAAATCATATCCCATGTTTGAACACTTAAAACCACGAAAAGACTGCAAACGCGCGGCTAATGCGAGCCGACATACGCCGAATCGCGATTTCGGCCAAACATGGTCTCGAAAAGTAGGTCACAGGTCAAAGGTCATTAAGGTCAGGGTCATGAAAATTTCAGGGTAGGTGTAAAATTGATCAACGCGAGGGTACTGAAAGTTTCGTCGCGATCGGCCGCTTTTTACGCGAGTTATTCGCGAAAAACCGAGGGGGGTGTCCGTTCGACCCCCTCCCTATACGGGCGAGGTTAACCCGCGCCCGGCTGGGGGTCCTGGATTTCCACGCCCTGCTGGGGGGATGTTTGAACAAACCCCCCCCCCCCTTGTAACTCGGCTCCTGGGCCACGTAGCGATACGCGGAAGGCGGCGTTCGAAAGAGCGTCAAAAATAATGACGAAATCACTTCGTTCAATTTTTTGGTCAGGTCAAAGGTCAGGTCACCAGAAGTCATTGAAGGCAAAATTTCGCCGATTTCCAGGTCGAATATCGAAAATTTCCAAGAAGCCAACGCATAACTCGGGAACCAATAGAGCTACAGCGCCGCGGAAAAGCGCATTCGATAGCCCTATTTCCGCCCTTTCTGAATAATTCCCTCAGATTTGACCTAACGTCAACGGTTTTGCCTGCAGGGGGCAAAAACTGCAAAAATAGCCGATTTTTTTCGGAAACAGTTTTTTCTGCAATAACTTTTGACCCAAGCCTTGTACGACCTTACTTTTACCGGCATCGTGATCCTCTCGTCAAGACGCATCGAATGAACTATCACTTGACCTTGAAAGGTCAACTTGAAAATTTGACCTCAGGCCAAGGTCATGACCTGACCGGAAAGGGTCATGTTGCATATCAGTCGATCCGTATCGTCGAGCTGAACACATCTAAGGCGTTTTCATCGCTCTAGCATGCCTCTATCAAAAGTTATTTGCGAAAAACTGTTGGATAGGGGAGAGTGGGGTAAGATGCCCAGGGTGGGAAAGACGCCCCACCCCCTCTAGCGGCGAATCAAAGAATCGAACCTGGAAATTAATGTTCTTAGCGTAAAGCGGAAGCCTGCCTTGTTAACTGCACAAAAATTTGCGAAGCTCAGTTGGGCAACGGCTGGCTGGTGATTGCATGTTTTTTATTTGCTGCTTTCAAAAAAATATTTTGGTGTTAAAACATTGTAAATATCAAAGAAGGAAGATAATTTTTGCGTCCCTTGCTATAGTCGTGATACATTAACATGCGTGTACTGTGTCCAAACAGTTTGTTTCCGGTTGTAGTTTTATGGCTAACAAATTGTACTGATTTAATGTTATTTCGGTACCTTGGGGTAAGATGGGGAAATGGGGAATGGGGAAATGGGGAATGGGGAAAATGGGGAAAGACGCCCCCCTAAATCCGTAGGCTGACCTTCAAGCAGCCCGTCAAATCATTTATTACATACTTGTGATGAGAGACAAAAGCAGATCTGTGATTATTGAGAGTCCAGTACGGTCGGATGCTCCCCATGCCGGTCTCTCGGCCCACACAGCGACTTTTTGGGCGGCATCTGACTCTGAGAGCCCTCATGACGGCCTCTGTGGGCCCCATTATTGGCTCCAGGGCCCCTCACGACATCCTTTGAGGGCTCTCACGTTGATTCCACGGGCCGCGCTGGCATCTGAGGTCCCAACAATGGGCTCGAGGGCCCTTAAGCATCATGAAGACCTATAAGGGCCCCACAGTGGTCTCCGAACGCCACCACGGAGGCTTGTTTGGCCGCGCTGGACTATGATGGCCCTAACGATGACTTCTGAAGCCCCTTACGACTACCTTTGAGGGCCCTTACGATGACGTTTGGTGTATACTGCAGGCTCGAAGGGACTACTGATTCGTTCAGGCGATTCACGTGCCCATTTATGTCACTTATAGTGAAGGGGGGCATCTTCCCCAACGCCAGGGGGCGTCTTTCCCACCCTGTGGGGTAAGATGCCCCTTTCACTTCTTCAGGTAAATGCTTAATAGCAAAAAAAGTTATCATATTTCAGGCACGAAAGTGTGATATTTTTGGAAAAAAATGATGTCGGCTTCCGTTGAAACTCCAAGTTTTTGCTTTCCGATCGTCATTTTCGAAAAATATGTGACATAGTAAAACCCTGGGCATCTTTCCCCACTCTCCCCTACCATTCGTGACCTAAGATGATCTCAGGGCATAAACAAGGGTCACGGACACCATTTTCATGTTCAGTGTGTCTAAACCACTTGTAATTCGGTGTTTGGGAGTGTTTATAATGTCTTTCGTCCAAAAGAGGCGCATTTCAATTTTCTCCAGTTGACTTAACCCGCGCCCGGCTGGGGGTCCTGGATTTCCACGCCCTGATGGGGGGGGTGTTTGAACACCCCCCCTTCTAACTCGGCTCCTGGGCCACGTAGCGATACGCGGAAGGCGGCGTTCGAAAGAGCGTAAAAAATAATGAGGAAATCACTTCGGTCAATTTTTTGGTCAGGTCAAAGGTCAGGTCACCAGAGGTCATTGAAGGCAAAATTTCGCCGATTTCCAGGTCGAATGTCGACAATTTCCAAGAAGCCAACGCATAACTCGGGAACCAATAGAGCTACAGCGCCGCGGAAAAGCGCATTCGATAGCCCTATTAACGCCCTTTCTGAGTAATTCTCTCAGATTTGACCTAACGTCAACGGTTTTGCCTGCAGGGGGCAAAAACTGCAAAAATAGCCGATTTTTTCGGAAACAGTTTTTCTGCAATAACTTTTGACCCAAGGCTTGTACGAGCTTACTTTTACCGGCATCGTGTTCCTCTCGTCAAGACGCATCGAATGAACTATAACTTGACCTTGAAAGGTCAACTTGAAAATTTGACCTCAGGTCAAGGTCATGACCTGACCGGAAAGGGTCATGTTGCATATCAGTCGATCCGTATCGTCGAGCTGAACACATCTAAGGCGTTTTCATCGCTCTAGCATGCCTCTATCAAAAGTTATTTGCGAAAAACTGTTAGATACCATTCGTGACCTAAGATGACCTCAGGGCATAAACAGGGGTCACGGACACCATTTTCATGTTCAGTGTGTCTAAACCACTTGTAATTCAGTGTTTGGGAGTGTTTATAATGTCTTTCGTCCAAAAGAGGCGCATTTCAATTTTCTCCCATTGACTTATAATGGGGAGGTCGCAAAATTGACCTGACCTTAGGTCATCGATATCAAAATTCTGAGATATACATTTTGTACATGCTATTGCTCTTAGCAATCGCTGAAAGTTTCAAAGCGATCGGTCACTCGGTGTAGCTATGACAGACATTGAAACCTTTTATGAGGTGAGGTCACTTCAAGTGACCTGGTGACCTGACCTTGAATGACCTTGGTCTGAAATTTTCACAACATGTGTAGAATTGATGTATGATAAGGTGTACCAGAAACGGCGGCGCTCCGCGCCGCCGTTTTTGAGATATTCGCGAAAAACCACAAGGGGGGGGTGTTCAAACACCCCCCCCAGCAGGGCGCGGGTTAAATGGGGAGGTCGCAAAATTGACCTGACCTTAGGTCATCGATATCAAAATTCTGAGATAAACATTTTGTACATGCTGTTGCTCTTAGCAATCGCTGAAAGTTTCAAAGCGATCAGTCACTCGGTGTAGCTATGACAGACATTGAAACTTTTTATGAGGTGAGGTCACTTCAAGTGACCTGATGACCTGACCTTTAATGACCTTGGTCTGAAATTTTCACAACATGTGTAGAATTGATGTATGACGTTTTTGAGATATTCGCGAAAAACCACAAGGGGGGTGTTCAAACACCCCCCCCCCCCCCCAGCAGGGCGCGGGTTAAGTCTTTGAGGTCATTGTTGATTGGATCTAGCTCAAAAACTGTGCTCTTGAGAGCGATTGCCGTAGTCAATGTTTGGCATCAAAATCGGCGAACATGACGTCACTCTGACGTCATTTCCGGCCGACCTATGGAAACTACGAATTTTTCCTTTGCACACAAGGTGCAAATTCATGCACTGCAAGTTTCGTGTTGATGCGTCTAGCGGTTTAGAAGATATTGCAGAAAAACAGGAGGGAGGCTCTCTAGCGCCCCCCCCCCCCCCCCACAACCCTGCAGTCATGCGCGGGTTAAAATGGGTACCAGTCGCTGAGTCTCGTAACGGCGCACCTGGTTCCCAAGACAAACAGCTGCTGATACAGAACGGTTTTCAACAATTTCCAGCTTATTAGTTTACCAGAAAATTTTCCTCAAAATGCCTAGCAGATACGATACCGGGGCAACTACTAAGTGGGTTAGAACAAGTGTTAGCTGTTAGCTCAAGTGTTAGCAACAAGTTTTCACTAAGTTCGCTCACCTGCTGTTGGCCGGGCGCCTCCGGCCCAGCGGCGGTGTCTCCGCTGAACGACATCCTGCAACTGTGACCGGGCGGAGCCGCCGCCGACTGTCTTTTGTGCTGTTCGGAGCTGGCGGCCAGTTTATTTAGGTACCTACGGAGAAGCCGAGAGGGGCCCGGGCGCGCGGGGGGAAGTCCCACCGCCGCCCTGCCGGTCCGTTTGTTGACTAGATGAAGTCAGCTACTTGGCAACGCCATCAGCTATTTTTGGCAACGATGAAGCTGATTTCACTCCTCAGCGAGGAAAACACGATTTTGGAAATACACATTACACAAGCACTGATTTTGGAAAAGAAGTGCTGCCACCTGTGCCTCGTTTCATAAAGCGAGTCCGTAATTTACGGCAGTTTTTGGGCTTGTATTGCAAGTGCATGTGAAGCGATAAATTTATTTCCCCTTCTCCCTTCTGTTCTTGCTTGCAAAATAAAGAAATTCAGCTATTCAAACTATCGTCATCGCTCCACATACACTTGCAATACAAGACCAAAAACCGGCGAAAGTTACGGACTCGCTTTATGAAACGAGGCCCTGGTGCAAGAAGAATAAACCAGCTTTAATATGGCCGTTGTTTGTATGGTAGTCCAACGTTGAAGCATACCTTTTTTGTGGCCTGAAGTTGGAACGTCAATTTGCAGCATCCGGAAATGATCAATATTGATCGAAAACATAATTTTGATGAAAAAAGAAGAATACGTTAAGTTGAAAGAGGAGGCGATTTCATCCAGATGCGGTATTTTACTTTTTGAAAGTATTTTTGTTTATGACGACCGCCATGTAATGACGGATGATGCGCAGCCGTCAATTAGCAAAAATTATTTCAAGAAGTAAGCCACCGTATCCGGATAAAATGAACTCTCTCAACTTCACATATTATTTTACATCAACATCATGTTTTCGATCAATATCGATCATTTTCGGATGCTTCAATTTTAAGTTCCAACTTCAGGCCACAAAACAAACTGCCATACAAACAACGGGCACATAAATGAAACTGCCGCTTTACCTGACGGCAGTATGTGGTCCACTGTGGTCCACTGTGGTCAACTATGGTCCACTGTGGTCCACTGTGGCTTACTGTCGTCCACTATGTTTTGCTGTGGTCCACTATAGTCCACTATGGTTTACTGTGGTCCGCTATAGTCCACTGTGGTTTACTGTGGTCCACTGTGGTTTGCTGTGGTCCGCTATGGTCCACTGTGGTCCACTACAGTCCACTGTGGTTTACTGTGGTCTACTGTGGTCCTCTGTGGTTTACTGGGGTCCCCTCTGGTGGGTGAAGCACGGCCGATTTGTTTGCATAAATCTGTGGCTGCATGGTCTGGCACGTCTGAGGGGCTCCACCAGCTGCACCGCTAGATAGCGTCACTCATTTCGCAGTCCCTATCCGGGTCAGAGCCTCAGGGGACACCCCCCCCCCCAGTGTGTGGGAGGGGTGAATGGCCAATCGGCGCTGCTTAGACAAGGCTGTGTTGACTGGCACGACCGAGGGACTGTGCCGCGGACGGGACGGACCGGCGGCCTTTGGACGCGGCGACTGAGCCGAGTTACTTCCGTGAACAGTTAGTTCACTGTCCAGTAAGTCAACTGAAAACAGTCATTCGGTTGATGAATGTCTTTGAGCTGGTATGGCTCAGTTTCGTTTTGTTTATTCATGAAATCATCAACAGGCATGTATCAAATGATGGATAAAAGCATCGTATAACCATAGTGTAATAAATAACACTATGGTATATTACACTATGGTATTATAACCCTCGCACTGGCATGGCATTTTTTCATTACACGGCCTGGCAGGGGGGGGGGGTCGATGCACCCCCCCCCCCCCCGCGCGATTGGCTCCTATGGCACCTAGAAACACCAAATTTAGTAGGTACGTGGGCCCCCTGGAGTTCTCGCCCTTGTGCAAATTGTGTTGCTCTAGGTCGATATTTAGTGGGTTTTGGGAGGTATAAATGTAAAAATTTCGCTAAAAACAGGTCAAAAGTGTTTCGCTTATGGCTTCTGATCTAATAAAGATAGAACAAAAAGAAAAGTACCAGTGAACTCAGCACGTCAAGGCGCGTCGAATGATCTACTTTTTAGCTTGCTTAAGCGTACTTAAAGTTTTTTTTAATTATTAAGTAAACTTTAATTAATTAATTAAGTTCAAGCTAACCAAATTGCATCATATATCGCATATCATTCAATTCGGCTAATCACCAGGAACACAATGACACCATTTTTAGGCTCTAGCGCCATTATGTGCCAAGTTATTGGCAAAAACGTCATTTGACCTCAGTTGACCTCATTTGACCTGACCCATGGATAAGTGCACCAAACAAAGAAGCACCAAGTGACCTGCTGTTAAGTACCTACTGTGGATTCAAAGCACAAAAGTGATAGAACGAAGCGGATATCTCCAGTATTTTCCGAATTTAGTATTTTCTGGTATTTTCCATAGGTTTTACATTACGACGTAATGACCTCTAACTGACCTCAGGTCAGTGACCTAGAAAACCCCGAACTACATGCTATACAATTCGGTGAACTTAGCACATCCTGAAAGTTTGAAGGAAGTCAGTCTAAAACTGTGAGTTGGACAGGTGTAAAAAGAAAATTGAAATTTGACCGTGACCTTGTACCGGATTTTTTGACCTGGTGACCTGAACCGGGACCTAAAATTTTTCAGGTCATATGCAAAAAGGTTGCCCCATAGGCTGTGCCAAATTTAGCGGTACTGCGCGCCTCCGTTTTTACGCTATCTTCGACAAACCTTAGGGGGGTCGCATCGACCCCCCCCCCCCCTGCCAGGGCGAGGGATAAAATAATATCCGCTACAAGTTGGAAACCACAAGTTCACTGCTGGCGTACCTGTTTACCGTCCTCACTGGACCCTAGCTAAACCTGATTTTCCGTTATTTTTTTCATTGATTGTTTTTACCCCTCCTAACCCTTCAACTTGGCCTTAGGACCCACTAAGAATTGTTCCCAAAGGTAACCAATGAACAGTGTTACCGAACCATAACAACAACTTTTCTGCACTAGGTAAGTGAAAAGGCTACAGCAAAACAACTTGCTCCAGGCGTGGGCCAAAGTTGCCCTTGGTGGACAAAGTTGCACGAAACTACGATACCTAACCACAATATCTTACTCCGCGTCAGAGTTCCTAGCTCTGGGACACCTCGTGTTTGGCGACTGATTGCAGGGTTTTTTGGTCACCTGGAGTAGGTTCATTAGGAAAATTATAATACTTTGGTCAATTTGGAATGAATAGACACACAACTATGTAATGCGAATTCCGAGATCGACCGTGACCTCTTGTTAGCGAGAAGAAGGAGCAAGGGGGGACACTAACAGACCACACACTAACAACAGGTCAGACTATCACTCAGCCCCAAACTCAGACCCCCCTCCCCTCCCCCTTACCAACAACCACCGTCCTCGGTCCTCCACTCTGAAGGCCTGCCTATCAGCACATCCTGGCGACTTTTTCCTTATCGCACCCCGTCGGAAATCCGACTGGAACAGAGGAAAAAACACTATACCGTGTATTTTTCTTATCGAACCGAGTACCAGGGGTCAACATCTTACGGGGCGCCGAAGATGAGTGTGCACGTGCGGTGCGTCATGTGCATCTCCTATCGGACAAATAAAGGCCGTGTCGGCGGCTCCACCCGGTCAGAGCTCCAAGATGTTCAGCGGAGAGACCGCCGCTGGGGCGGAGGCTACCGGCCGACAGCAGGTAAGGCAGTATTGATTTACTGCCTACAGGGCAGCAGGTCAGCTGAGACTATGTCAAGGGTGTTTTGAAGTTTCAACAATTTACCCCGTGCCGTGCTGGCATGGGAGGGGCTATCTTTGCCCTTCAGGGGCCGTGTTCACGTTGACTTCGTAAGTCGATTTTCTTTCGTAAGTATAATTTGGTATTCACGTCGACACTTCGATAAGTTTTTATCGACGGAGTTAACGTGATTAACAAAAAATTGCTTAGGAAGTAGGTCATACGTGAGAAAATTATTACGAAAATGATCGGCGTGAATACGGCCCCAGGTGTTTGAACACCGGGGGGGGTGCTCAAACACCCATTGTGGGTTTTCGCGAATATCTAAATAACAGCGGCACGAAACGCCGCTGTTTTTGATACCCCTTATCATACACCAATTCTACATATGTTGTAAAAAAATTTCAGACCGAGGACATTCAACGTCAGGTAGCTAGGTCACTTCAAGTGATCTCACCTCATAAAAAGATTTTGTCTGCCATAGGTACACCTAGTGACCGATCGCTTTGAAAGTCTCAGCGACTGATCAGAGCAATAGTAGGTATGTACAATATGTATGTCTCGGAATCTTGATATCGGTGACCTAAGGTTAGGTCAATTTTGCGACCTCTCCATTATAATAAGCAAATGGGACCAGACGTTGCGCGAAATGACAGGACGCAAAAAGACTGATACCATCCCACCATTTGAAGGAAAAGCCGGAGAAATACTTACTGACAATTACACAAAGGCTCCTTCGTTCATATCCTTCGACCCAGTGGGGGGCATATGTTACCACCCTGTCTCGTTTTTGCGTGTAAATAAAAACCGCGGCGCGTAGCGCCGCGCCCCTTAACCCGGCCGGGCCCGGGGGGTAATCCCAACCACCGCAGCCCGGGGGGGGCGTTTTTCGCCCCCCCTGTCTAACTCCGTAAATAAGGGAGCTACGGAAACAAAAGCGATACCAAACGAAAGGTCCTTACGAGACGATTCTAATGCACCTAAAATTTTTGACCTCAGGTCAATTTTCAAGGTCAGAGGTCAAGGTCAAAGGCCAAAACCGGCACATGTGTAGTGATCTCAAAGTAAGCCTTCTAGAGGACGGCAGACTGCATCAAACCGGCAAACTTGGGTGTCAAACGAAAGAAGAGAATCTGAGGATTCTGAAAATGTGCTCCAAATCAAAGGTCAAGGTCAAGGTCACGCTCAAAATTGACCTCAAACTTGGCACTTTTTCGCACATCTTGCGTGCTAACGTCCAAGATGTTTTGAAATGTTTTGAGGCTTATCAGTTCCCTATTTGTGGTTCATCTTACG